GGCGACCCCCAGCTTCTGTGGGTCATAGCCACTGTTCCCTCTAAGCTGAATTAGTGTGAGCCAGTTCACGGTTTTTTAGCCTCCGGCTCACACATTTTTGCCTTCGCTCAGGAAGGAGGGCTCCAGAGCAAACTAATTTATGCAGCAGCCAAATCACCTGCTCACAACTTTAATGCCAGTCGCTCACAAAGCAGAATCTTTGCTCACAAGACTCCGCAGCTTAGAGGGAACATTTGGTGTAGGGATGGACGGCAACCGTGGCAAATGCGAGGAAAAGCGCTCCTGGTTTGGTTTCCTGTGCCATTTCCCCCTCCCCGTGACACTCCCAGCAGCCCCCCGCGCGCGGTGTGCCCGTAGGCGGAAACTTCCAGCTGTATAGGATCGGGAACGCCAGGGTGCTGCTTTTGGGGGGCGGTGGTGTGGCACCCTCGCGACTCCGCCCCCCCCCACAGAAGGAATCCCGCGAGGCACAGAGCCCCGCCCACTGCCCCCGCCCCCGCGGTGCTCCGCCGGCTTCGGTTCTCCGCGGTACAAGCCCCTAGAATCCCCGCCAGTCTGCGGGAGGGGACGTCAGCCCCACGCCCCTTGCAAGAAAGTAGTGCAGAGAGGGAATGAAAACCGGGGTGGCTCTCAAGCGGAGATGCAAGTCAGCGCAATGCGGAGGGGAGACTCCACGCGTGTGTGTGGGAGGGATATAAACTTTTGAATAGGGGGGGGGCGCGCACAGTCCCTCATGGGGTGGGGGGGCAGGCGGTAGACAACGCGTCCTTTGAACTAGCCACACTTCAGCCGAGTTGAAAGAGACTAGCGGGGGTTGGCACCTTCAGAAGGAGAAGAAGTCTGGTGGGAGAGACTGAAATGGCTGGGGGAATACTGCGAAGTTCCTTCACTGTAGTAAGAAGAGCGGCAAGGGCCGGGGGAGGGAGGGGGAGAGAAAAGAGTGTCCTAGCAGGGGACTGGGAGGACTGGCTTACTCCGGGGAAGGAAGGAAGGAAGGAAGGAAGGAAGGAAGGAAGGAAGG